TATCTGCTAATGTATATTGAATAATTTGTCATCATGAATCTCGTATCAGGTGCATATTTATTCAATCAAATTTTACGACAGTAAGGTTCCTTGAAGCATAAAGATATGATTTTTTTAAACTATAGTATAAGTTAGAAACCCTTATTAACCTAAACCTGATATTTCTTAAGCTACTATTGTAGATGTGCCGTTTATCACTTAACTCCATCGGTTTACCTGCCAGTTGGGAGAGCTTAAGGGCGGTTTGATATCAAATTAAAAAAAAATCATACTCATTCAGAAATCATGAATTCTGGTAGTCTGAATCTTAACTATGACTAAATTTTGTTTGTTTGATTTTTTTTTTAAATGTTATTAAGAGTATTTATTTAAGTTTTCTTGAAATCAGCTTAATATATTATTTTTATTAAAATATTTAATTTATTATTTTATTAAATTATTAAATAAGAGTAATATGAATATTTTATTAAAATTTTTATTTTAACTTGTCGAACTTCAACGCACTTGATTTGGTGGAAATTATGACCAGATCATATTGGTGAAAATTAAGGCGAATTCTGGAAATTTTATCAAGATGTTTTTTTTAACTGTATTTTTTTATTACATATTTTATTTATTTTTAAAATTATATAATAATTATTTTGATTATGTTTGGAAAAGAAGGAAAAAAGATTTCTTGAAACAGTTATATTATGTTACATGTCAGAAAAAAATGAAAGAATTATTTTTTTAATTAGAATAATTATTTAAAACAGTTATAGTATTATTTTACTTTGATGTTCAAAGTTTTAGGAAACCAAATATCTTTTTTCTATCAAACAATTCCTAAGGTTAAGTTTACAAATATTATTCTTCCGTCAAATATAATACGGGTAAACTTGGGAAATTGAAAGCAACGGAATAGTGGGCCTAGTGCCGTTCGTGATCCGAAACCACTTGAACTAATTTTAATCTTCTCAAGTAAAACTTTAAATCCCTTTTATTTTCATTAATTTTTTTTATTATCAAACTCACATAACGTTACAAGCTTAATAAGTAGATGAACATTTTTATGAACAAGAAATAATCCTCCTGGGTATTTAAATGTTTTTCTGGTTTTTAAAGTAAGGCTAAACTCTAAATATTTCATTCTATTTGAATAATTATTGATTATTATTCCTAATGTGATGTAACGCACTACAATGATTTAATGGAAAGTATCAGGCAATCAGAAATGTTTTTATCAATGGTAAACTGTATGCAAAATTAGTTGCATTTGTATTTAGGGAGAAAATAATTTCTGGTAAAGTTACTTTCAATTTTTTCATACATTAAATTTCTAACCGTTAAATTAAAATTTCTTGTTGGCTAAATTAAATTTACAGTTTTAAAAAATAAAATAATAGTTGTGTGGAGAGAGAAGCGAATAGTAGATGGATTCGCTCAGAAGTTGACATAATTTTATCTTTAGTTAATGTAATTAAAGGTCGTAATAGGTTGTACATGAAATTTTGTTGGGTCAAATATAAAGTAATGGAAGGATAGAGTAAGACCTTGTACAACATAAAGAGGCAAAATGTATTTTTCAGCTAACTTGGGCACTCAATATTAAAGCTATATCCATCCAGTCTCACAACAACAACCCCCGCAACCAGTGCATATTAGAATTACTCTACGGGGAGAAACTTTTATACATTTTTCAATATTAAAGCACCTTTCTTTGTAAAAAGTATGTGTTTCTTATTAAAACAAGAAAAGAGAAAATTCTTAATTTAGTCCTACAAAATTATTTGATCATTAAATTAATCTTTCAATAATTATTTTGTCGCACTTTTAACCTTTTATGATTTTAACATTGCATTATTTCATAAAATTGGAAAGTAAAATAAAAGAGAGAAAAATACATAATATATTTTTAAAATTCAAAATGAAGAAATTAAATATAATGAAAAACAAATTTCCCCTTCAGTTGAAAATAACGAAGAAAGATGATGTACGGGTCCTGTCCCTTAAAACGAGAGAGACATTAAAAACAAAAAAATCATTTTTTTTCTCTCTATTCCTGTACCTTTTTTCTTCTGCCTTCAATCCTCTAACCGAACTGTGACGACATGAGGAAGTGTACAACCATGGACCCCATCTCCTAAAGTCTCTTTTCCTCTTAGGTTATTAAAATGAGTGGGGAATTCCCAATTTCTTTTCTGTTTCATCGTCACATTTTGGTGATATTTTTCTTCTAAATAAAGACATTGAAGATTTAAGTTCTTGAAAAAAATTATTTCGTGATTAAGTTTTTATGAATATGTATAATTTTGACCGTGGACATGTTTTCCAATACTTTAATTTATGGTATCTGCCTCAAACTGTTGAACAGAATAATAATTCATCGAAATCCTTATATTATTTACTACAGTAAGTTAGATCATATAGTAAGTTGATGGTTGGATAAAATTGACGATGACAGTTAACAGATGAAAACCAATTGCACATTAAATAAGTGCCTACTTTATGTCAGTGTTGTCGTGGCCAACATAGGCAAAGAGTTCTTGTTTCTCCATTAAAATGTGGATGTTCATCATCCAAACAAAAGGTCATGTAATTTACTTTTGACCAAATTACCCGCGACAACGATTGAAATCGATTCCAGGTGAAAGAAAATAAACTGTAGCAGACATTGAAGATTGAAGTAGACTAAAGACAATGTCACCTGGGATAAGTGATCCTTTTAAAATTGCCAATATCATAATCATTTGAGTTTTTTAGTAGGCATGCACTATTAGGATCACCAGTTAGAAATCACAAGATACATGATAAAATAACAGTGTCTATTCTAAAATTTTCAAGCAAGTATCTTTTCAACCCTAGTGGACCAGTGGCCACCATTTGAAGTTGTGATAGTTGTTAGCATAAAAAAGACAAGTGGGGATGTAATTGAGTAAACCGATTCCATTCTACCTCTACCGTGAATAGTTTGTATTGTAGGGCAAGAAAAAGTAGGTCTAAGAAATTTATTTATATGGAAAACTAATGAGTTACCGAAAGCTATTGCTATGTATAATATGGCTACTTGTTTCTTTTGGTGACACTCTTTCTTTTTCTCTGTCCTTGGCATCTCTTGAGCATTTCTTGAACCACACGGGATTTTCCAGTATCTGATCGATCTTAAAGCTATGCCATCAAGCTCACGTCTAAAACTTCACTTTATTCCCTCCTTTTCACTCCCCACGCCTCTTCCTTTCTCAAACTCATCCATGCTCATTATTCGTCTCTCTCCCTCCACCCTTTAACCTTCTATTCTCTCACCTTTACTTCATACCCTTCCCAACTTTATTTTCACAGACACCACTTTCCAATATCTAACAATATCTTCACTCTCACACGAGGGCTCACAAATCTTGTTTAAAACACAGCTCTCATCTTAGCAAGACATCACCTAGCTACCTAGCTGGGGGCACCATCAATATTATATATATATATATATATATCCAAGCCAACATCTATTTTTCCTACTCTCTCCCTATCTCTCTCACTAGCTGCTATAGCTACAACATTTCTCTTGGACAAGGAGAAAGTCTTTAACTTAAAAAACAACCTGTTTTCCCTCTTTAGCCTCTTTTATATTTATTTCATGATTAAACCTTTTTGTGCGTTCTATGTAATATATATTACCTGAAGCAACTAATCACAATCCACTAATTCTATGTTTGAAAGACTTAACTTTTGTTTATATTCTTTCAGACCCTTATGACTATAGCTTGACCCACTTAATTAAAATAAAACATAGGTTGAGATTCATATAAGTGAAGCACATGGCATGACGTATCTTTTCTTGGACAGCTTAATTAATGGATTTCGTGTCCCAATTAATATATATATATAATCAGATATACTGTTCAATAATACTGAAAAGTAGGCAAAGGCTCTTACCCTACACATTATATTCTCTTTTAGGCATGCATTTCACATCTGATGAATCTCCTATCATCACATGCTTGTACTCTAAAACTAATAAATATTTTACATTGCATAAGTGTGTAACCAATAGAAACTAACATTTTCCATGCTTTATCTGTTTTGAGAAAGAGAGAGTACTTTTGATGGAGGAGTATCTCAATTATTTGGTCTGTATTCTTTACCTTGTTTCAAATTACCTTCTCTTTACTTGTATTTGTGCAGTGCACATCTCATTTTTGTTTTTGGTTTTCGCATGAGTGTTATCCGAGAGGTGGGAAGCCTTTTTTTTTTTTTTTTTTTTTTTTTTTATAAGCAAATAATATCAATTAATTAAACTTAATAAAAGGCTACTCATATCCTAAGAATAGAGTACAATACAAGGTAGAGAAAAATTATTAAAAAATGAGTCATAATATTTTGACAACCATAAAAAAAAACAACTCAAAAAACAACCCATTTTATTAATATAATAATCATGAAAGAGATTTAATAAAAATGAAAATAAGTTAAAATTATTATTATAATATTAAAAATGAGTTGTTTGATAAAGTTATATAAAATTGGGTTGTGAAAGTATCATTCTTCTTACAAAACACACTAAACAAAACAGATCAAAGGATTATTGAGTCAGTCTACAAGGTTACAAGACATTCTCATACCAGCCGAAAAGATTCACTTTCAAGAATAAAATCAAGCAATTTCAACCGATCCACAACGCCTTGTTTAAAGATCACACAGTTCCGATGTAACAAAATGAACCAAATGACTGCAACCCAAATAATAACCAAGTAATGTAATCGCTATTTACTCTTCCCTTGTCACACCAAAAAAAAAAGTACACAGAAAAAAAAGACATAACAAAATAACACCAAATCAGCAAAATACATCTATCCACACAAAAAAAAATAAAAAAAGACACACAAAAAGAAGACATAACAAAATAGCCAACAAAATACATCTATCCACCTACTCTATGCCACGGGCAGCCTAAATTGATGCCCCTGCTCGATCATTTTCATTAATAATTGCAGTAAGCAAAACCTACGTTCATCTTCATCATTTCCATTTCACCTGCTAGTCTTCACTTTTGGTATAACCTTCAGAGAAGAGACAATCACAAGAGCATTCCATGCAACTCCTAACTGTTAATAATCCTCCATTAATTACAAACAATAAAATTATATTTCTATAATCGTATTCAAATCTCACCCTGTGAACTAATTGTCTATTGAATTAAATATTAAAAATCATCTTTTGATAATATTGAGATATTATATCATGTTCTATACAAATGTATCATCCTCTCACGATATATTATTTTTTTATCTACGTCTTTATTTAGATTGGAGAAAGGATTCCTCAATAAAAAATAAAAAAAATTTATTTTTTATTTTAATACAATTATTAATTATTTATTATAATAATATTTCTGTTAATATTTTTAAATATAAATTATCACTGTTGGATATAATCGATTTGCCGAATATTTATTTTCTTTCTATGATTTTCTTCACCTAACGAGAAAAGATATATTGTAATTGTATGTTAAAATCTTATCTTTCTCATTATTTGTTATATATCTCCTTTAAATCTGTCCACTGAAGCAACACATGCACTTAAATATATTGTTAGTATTGATTTTTTTAATTACAAAATTTTAAAGCATTTTTTTATTGAATAAAGAATCTTCTTAAAGCCCATCCTTACTTTAAATTGCCTAATTAGAAATAAATTTAGAAAATATTTTACAAGTATTTTTTTAATATCGGAACTATCTACAACTGTATTAATACACGCATCCTTTAAATGAAATAATTTGTTCAATTAAAAAAGAAATTACTTAGGTTATCCATTATATAAGATAAATGTATAATAACTAATATTTTACCATATAAATTATATTATAATTAATATTTTAATAAATAAATATTTGTAAATGTATAATTTATGATGAGGATTTTATAATTAACCACTTAAATAGTTATTTTGTAGTACTGAATAATTTTATTAAAAAACTATCGAAATTAATTGAGAAGAAAAGATGAATTAAAAGTGAGAAACAACAATTTATAAGAACCAATCATATATACAGATAAATATAAGAGTGTTGTGATGGTAAAAATGTAAGGTTTTTGGTGGACAAAAAAATATTTGTATGAGACAATAGCAGTGTGTTAAATGGTAAAGAAAAAATGGAGATAGAAAGAAGGATTAGTGGCGTATATGAAAGGTTAAAAAATTCTCCCCACCAAGCAAACGTGGTTGGACTTGGATTGGATGTGACGGTTCTGATCATTAGACGTGACTAATAGAGAGAAGTTAATTTTGGTTTGTTGAGAAATGAGTGATTAAGAGGCAAAATGGTTGGAATTTGAGAAAGACAAAGAAGCAATGTAGCCCACAACCCCCACCCTCCATTTGGTACATGGACCCCTACTAAATCCACGTACATGAGAAGATTTCATCTTTCTCACCACAAGTGTAGAGAATCTCCAAATGGTTCCTCACTCAACCACAAACTGTTGATCTTTCCTTCTACATTTTCTTCTTTTGTAGCTTACGATAAGGTCAGTGACCATGCTAATTGGTCCATGCATGCCTTCCTCAAAACTCTTCCCCATTCCATTTGTTGAAATTAAAGATATCACCTCTCTCATTAATTTCCTATTACTATTTGAAAGTTGCACATGGATCCTCCTCATCCACAGATTAAGAATAGTCATGCATAATATATACTGAAGGCTATGAAAGTGTTGCTCTCAAGAAGAAGTACAATGAGAAACAGAAACACAGCACGGTGGTTCCCAAAGGAGGGGGCTTTTCTTTTAAAAGAAAGTGTGCAAAATGGGCCATGTAAACCCCAAAAGTCCAACAAAGTCAGATTATCTTCACATAGGAATAGGAAATGAGGGTTATGAGTGGCCTTCAAGTTGCTTCCAATAAACTAAGACGCTTTCAACTCCATCGTTTGCTTAATCAACTAAATACATTTTCTGGGGCTTCTGCTTTTCCTCATTACAGTGCCCATTATTTTATATATCATTGCAATTAATAATAATAATGCACACATATCATTGAAGCAAACGGAGAATACATTAAGAGACACAGTTTTCATTTCAAAAAAGAGAATATATACCTTAATTAATGGTCAATGTTAAAAAATATTTAATGGTTATAACAACATTTTAAAAAGTCAAGTAAAACTCGATTATCTATGTACAACATGTCTTGTATATCTCAATAAGAAAATGTTTTTAGTTGGTAAGTTTCCCATATACGCAACATTATTTATACTTATTTTTTTAGTAACTACCATAATTATAGCCTTTTTACTCTAATAAAATTCCAAAATAGTTGAAGAGTGAACTAATTGTTGGTAAAAAAATCCATTCAGTAATGTGCATGTTATTAATAAGTAACACAAAGTCGTTGACCCAATTTCATCTTTACCAACCAATGATCATGCAACATATTAAACCAATTTATTTGTGTCATGGAAATGGTCCAAGTTTTGGGTCAAGTTCACATGACAGTTGTGTTGTTTTACCTTAATTTCCTCTCTCTGCGCCAATATCTTTGGTGGCTTATGGCTATGGAGATAGTATATTATTATTGCAGTTTGGGGTAATATCTGTGGTTCGGTCACGTGCGTAGGCTCAGAAAGTGACCGTTAATATGCAATTTGGCATCTTATTTAAAACCAAAACAAACAACTACGAGTAGAACTCTCCACACAACATATATTTATTTAGAAAATAGCAGAAGAGGATAACTTTATGAGAACCCATGAAGGGCCTTCGCAGTTGAGGTTTGAGGCCAAAATAAAGCAGGAAAAATAACAGGATGCATGTGCATTTTTCGGTTCTTTCTTTGCCCAAATGTTGTGCAACATGCCATAATCAATGCATCTTTCTTCATTTCTTGACACGTAACTATGTTTGACCAATCAACGGTTCATGCTGCTCCCTTAAACAGAACAATTAAATAGAAGCATTGTTTTTCTTTTTCTTATTCGGCACAAACTCGATCGACAAACAGTTGGAGAAGATCATTTGGGGCGGCCATAATCAAAGTCTTCACAAGTGCTTGTAGCATGCCATCATGTGCATGCGTCCAATGCTACAAAGAGACGTTATGAAAAATAACAAAAGCAAGATTTCAGTGCCGGCTTTCTTAGCATAAGGCGGTGCCAATTTTCTACTTTGAAAGCAATTTTCTAGGATTCCCCCAACTTTTTGGATACCACTTACGCAGTCAATTATTTGCAAGGTTGGTAATGTAGTTTAGTTTCACTAAAGTCCATAGATTAAGCCCTCATATTATTCTAACAAATGCCATTAATTTAACCAAGTTTCTTGCTTAAAATTTTGGAAGAGGAGTTCATTTATTAGGTTGTGGAGACTTTGGACATAAAAAAAAAAGTAGGGCCACGTGAGTGCACCAACCAACCCCATCCTCTAGAGTGTGTGTATGAGTTTGTGATAGTTATGGTTGAGGTTACTATTCTCCCTAACCTCTAAATCCAGATACATGTCACCTTTTAGGGTGAACCATCACATTAATAAGGAGGCCGCGTGATGCTAACTTCCCACCGCTGCTTTTAAATCCTTAACTTCTTGCAAACAGTACCAGAGGCAGTAGCTACCTTGTGAACTTAATTATAAAACTTTTTTTCTTTTACGCTAAATTGTTATATCACGTTTTCTATATTCAAATATGAATAAATTATAATACTTTAAAAAAAAAATTCAAACACATTTTACTTTTTCTTATATATTTCGATGCACATAATGCATACATACATCAAATAACATGAAATTGTTTTGGCTTAATTATTAGTCTAAAAAGAATTAAGTAAATTTGATCGATCCAATAGACTCAGTCATATATTAAAAGAACTTGTTAGAAATTATCAGTCCGGTATATATATATATATATATATATAGACTTTTTATCATTCACCAGTGGGTTTTAAAACCACTTAAGTGTTGCTGATGAGATAATATTTAAAATAATATATTTAGATAAGATTTATGAGTTGTGATCTAAATGTTACATGAACTAGGTCAATCCGCATATTATTAACAAATATTAACATGTCTCGTGATTACAACAATATCAGGTGGTGCAACCCAACCCCGTAACATCAAATGGTTACAAAAGCTTTACTATGCCAATATAACAATAACTCTGTTAGCGTTGTGTGGAGAACGTGTAGAAAAGCTAATTCATCGTTTAAAGAACACAATGAAAAGTAACTGTTTAAAAATAAATATATAAATATTAATTTTTTTAAATCACATCGAATAATAATTTTAAACCACATAATGAGGGGATGACAGATTTACTATTTTTAAGACAGATAGAAGAAAGAAAAAACGAAAGTGACAATAATGTAGTCACGAAACAGAGCACAAGGATTTAAAAAAGAGAATCTCTGTAGCATAACTAAAATATTTCTTTGTTAAAATGCAAGGGATTAAGTATGATTTATCTTTGACTTAAAGGAGACTTTAACTTCAATCTGAGAAAGAATGGTTATTTATAAGGTAAAAACATGACAAAATTTGAACAGAAAGATATAGTACTGGTACTATGTGGGAGTTAACAACGCCAAATTTAGTAGTTTCATCATGTGTAAAATAGATATTGGTACTTGGGATGGGAGGCCACTTAATTGCAGAATTAACCATGCCCTCTATTTGAGGGACACCTCCTCGTTAAGCTAATTGTTAATCACTAATGATTAGTTGGATATAACTTTTTCTTCATGTTTCTTCAGACAATGGCGGAAAGAAGAAAAGATTGCAACCAAGAAACGAAAGAGAGAGAGAGGAGATTAACGTTAGAGTACAACACAGCAATGTGCCATGATGATTGTGTGCTTAGCTTTAAGTTTCCCCGCCAAACATACCCATCATTGTTAGTGGGCCAAACATTAGTCATGCATACTTACTAACAATAATAATCTAAAACCACAACTTAACCAATCTAATAGTGAAAACAATAATACCAGATCTCTTTTATCTTCATCACTTAAAAAGCAAACAACAACTTATCTGGCTTCATAAAAAGATTAAGGGATTACCATAAACAAAAAGAGTAGTCGCAAAAAATCGCGTTCCCGTTGATAAAGGAGTACACACACAATCCCCAGAACAAATAATAATATTAATTAAAAAAAGAAAAAAAAAAAAATACACTCACAGGTGTTTCCTGAATGAACCGTTGCTCAACAGCTATTATATCATATCACGCCTTGTAATTTGGAATTTCCTATTTACCATTTGCGACAAAACATGGTTTAGGAGAAAAAAAAGAAAGAAAAAGAAAAAAAAGAAAGAAAGAAAAGAAATCCGAAAGAGGGGTCCACCGTTTTGGTGCTATAAATTAAAGAGGCTTGGGAGTTGGAGTTCTGAGTGTGGAAAGGCACCAAAGAAAGAGAAAGAAAAACACACTAACTATCACTACTCTTCGATATAACGGCAATGGTGGACGTGGACCGGAGGATGACCGGTCTAAACCCGGCCCATATAGCCGGTCTACGCCGTTTATCGGCTCGAGCCGCAGCTGCTTCGTCTGTTCCGGTCCGAAACGGCGTTGTTTCATTCGCTTCTTTGGCAGATAAGGTCATAAACCACCTTCGCGACTCAGGCATACACGTGCAGCATGGTCTCTCCGACGCGGAGTTCGCACGTGCCGAAGCCGAGTTCGGGTTCGTCTTTCCGCCGGACCTCCGCGCTGTACTTGCAGCGGGGCTTCCCGTTGGTCCGGGATTCCCGGACTGGCGCTCCGGCGGTGCGCGGCTGCATCTGCGCGCGTCGCTGGACCTTCCGATCGCGGCGATTTCGTTCCAGATCGCGAGGAACGCGGTGTGGTCGAAGTCGTGGGGGCCTAGACCGTGCGAACCGGAGAAGGCACTGCGAGTGGCGCGGAACGCGCTGAAGAGAGCGCCGCTTTTGATCCCTATCTTCAACCATTGCTACATTCCTTCTAATCCCTCTCTTGCCGGAAACCCTATCTTCTTCGTCGATGAGAACAGAATCTTCTGCTGCGGCTTGGATCTCTCCGATTTCTTCGACCGCGAGTCGCTCTTCCGGAGCTTCGAAGCGGATCCTATACTTCTCAAGAAGCAGCGATCCGTCAGCGAGAAATCCACCGGCGTGTCTGTTTCCGCTGCGTTCTCGCGGCGGAGCCTCGACGCTGGCGGGAGGACGCCGCGATGGGTGGAATTCTGGACCGACGCCGCCATGGATAAGAGGAGGAGGAACTCTTCTTCGTCTTCTTCGTCGTTATCGGCGTCCTCGTCGCCGGAGAGGTTTTTCGAGATGCCGCGGAGTAAAGTCCCAGGTTGGGTGGAAGAATACATGGGACAAATCGGGTCGGTTTTGAAAGCGGGTGGATGGAGCGAATCGGATATAAACGAAATGGTAGAGGTTTCGGCTTCTGGATTCTTTGAGGGAGAGATGGTGGTCTTGGATAATCAAGCGCTGTTGGATGCCCTGCTATTGAAAGCCGATAGGTTTTCTGACTCGCTCCGAAAAGCTGGGTGGAGCTCCGAAGAGGTTTCAGAAGCTTTGGGGTTTGATTTTCGACCCGAGAAGGAACGGAAACCGGCTAAGAAGTTGTCACCTCAACTGGTGGAGAGAATCGAGAAACTGGCTCAGTCGGTTTCCCGGTCAAGACACGATACTAGGGGGAAGGAAACTGGATGAAGGAATGAATTTCTATTTACCCACACTTCATTTCTATTTTTACGGGTTTGCTTTTCCCTTTTTTGGGTTAAAAACGATGAAGAATTGGGGAAACGCGATGTACTATGAAACAAAGTGCACAAAATAGATCAAAGAGGTTTAAAATTACACAAGTTGATGATCACTTTTTTTTATTATATATATATATATATAAATATATATAAGTTTTGATAATAAATGTTCAACGGTTGTGAACTGTTATGTACAGTAAAATGAATGTCGCCCAGACCTATACTGATATTTTTATTTTGCATCTGATTCTGTTTACTTTGATTAAACGTCTAGGTGTGTTTTGAAATGAGCACCACTGGTGCACGTGTGTATGTGCACTCACCTCTCTTGTACGTTTTTTTGTTGCTGATTCTATTTTAAAAAATTGAAAGGTGAGGCTCCATCCAATGACATGAACATGCAGCACAGCGGAGCATGGTATCATACCCATTCAGTGCCAGCCCAGCAAACGCTTGAGGCTTGAGGCTTGAGGCGGTGTCGTTTTATCTTCCACACGGTCAAGGAAAGTGTACGCGTGCTCTTATCTATGGTATGAAACGATTATGACACTGTTTGTGTGCCACAAACACTAAACTTCTCATCTTTTCACCATAATTTTAATTTCAGTATCATTTTAGAGACATGTCAATTATTTTTCCCTTCTTTTTACTGAAGCTCAATTTTCTTGGAATTTGGAAAAGGATATGCATGCAATGTATGTATGGGCTTGCACGCTCAAAATACTGACAATATAAGAAACATAAATGATAACAATAGTATAACAGAAACAACAGACAAATTTTAGCATGCCATGTTATTCAGAGAAGGAAATTTTGAGTATTTCCATTCAATTTTTTTTTAGTTTTACTGTTCAATCAAATCATCTTAAACTTTAGCTTTAGATGTAACATTCTAATTTCAAAGTTGTCTCCTTAGGTTTCAACTAATATTTTAATGAACCCTTTCATGTTAATGGTTCAATTAAGTGACTAATGTGATAAAAATCCTATATTCTATCATTCCAAATTTTAAATATTAGATCAACCTGTTCCTCTTGTATAAGGTGGCTTATATTGTGTAGTTTATATTTTTGTGTCTTTGTTTCTCGTGCCAATGTGTTCAGGATGTCAATAACCCTAACATCAACTACCCTTTGGCATCAAATCAATCTTCCCAAAATTAACATCAATCTTACTAGCCCCTAACCATCCCTCCCTCCATCTCTAGAATCACCCACTCAACACTATTGTCAAAAACTCCAACTCCTCCAAAATATATAGTTGTCTTGTTGAGTGCATTTTCTTCATTAGCATGGTGTAACGCAAGATCTAGGCACGAAGGCTATGGTCAGCGGGTAGATGTTGAAGCAGAGTACAAGAATGTTGAAGTGGTTACATGGTTATGGTTTTTCAAGGGACCATTAAGGACTAATTGTAAAAAGCCTTTGCTGTTAACCAAAAGCGAACAAATTTGAAAATAAAAATTAGAGAGCAGAGAGGAAGAGGGCCACGTGATTGTGGCCTCAGATGTCCCAACCCAAGGTGTTCCCTACTGGAAGAGGACTAAAACCAAGGTGCATGAAGCAAGAGAAGTGGTTCCACGTTAGATGACTTTCTTCACTCTTGTTTACTTGTAAACTTCGCAGCTGCTTCCACTCAACTTTCAAACACGTTAGTCTAATTTGTTGGGTGATGAAAAACAAAATGAAACTGATATTTTGTATTTTGTTGGGCAAGTGTTTGTCTTAATTTGGTTGTTTTGTAAAGATTGTGGGGAGCACCTGATGATCTACACCAGACACAGGAGCAGGTCCTCATGTGGAGGAGCCAGATTGAAGAAAGGAAAACAAAATTCATTTCTATTTCTATTTCTATTTCATTGTTACTTTCAACCAAGTTTTGAATTCAAATTGTTTTTGGACTTTACTAAATTACTCAAAAATTAACATATCCACAAATTATTTGTAATATCTGTCACATAAATAAATTGTATTTTAATATCATAAAAATACTGAATTGATCTTAAAACAATATGGACTACTCTAATGAGATACAAAACACAACTCAATCTTACAATGAAAGTTACTTCAGACTACTTGACCATGCATTCAAATCTCTAAAGGGTACTACTATTCACATTATCACAGTAATATTGTGCCAATGCTTGTTATATATGTATGACAAGATAGTGTTTTTCCATAAAGTTTTTTAAAATTAAACCAAATAATTTTATAAAAGAAGAACTTAAAAAAAAAGTGAATGAAATTTTTATAAAAATGATTTTTCTCTTCTCTCTTCTCTTCAAACATATTTTATTACAATAACTTTGAAAACAAAAAAACTAACTCAATCATAGTGTACTTAACAAAGTTTGGATGTGTAAAAGAAATCAATACATTTATTATAGAATATAATTCTCAACTATAAATTCTGAAAATTTCCTGTGGTTATTAAAGTAAAAAAATAATTAAAGTCACATAAAAATGTAAAAAATTAAATAAAGTTATTAAGAAAAAAATCTTAAAACCTAATAATTCAAATTAATAATAAATAAATTTAACAATATAAATCTTATTATAAAGACAAATGGAATCAAAGTATTGGTCCATTTAACTTGTAAGTTACCCTTCTAAAATGGTAATGTTTCATTTTCATGTTTTTGATAGAAGTGACAGGTTTTCTGGTTGTAGCTAAAATGTTGGTTGTTGGTGGAGAGGTGATATAAACCGTACATCCCTGCTTGTATGACACATATGGTGTTGGTAGACATATCCATCAGATTTTTTTGGTATTTAGTGCTACATGCTATCATTAACTAGATGTAATATTGGTATACTTCAGTTTAAGAACTTGTAACATACACTAACCGAGGTATTAAGAGAAAAAATAATTGAGGAAACTGCAATAAAATGAAAAAAAAAAAAAAACTATTAGGAATGAAAGACCAAGACTGAGTGGAGTTTTCCGTGCTCTATGCAGTACAGTGTGTAGTCATCTAACCCAGAGAAAGTGGAAAAGACAAAAAATGTTACCACAGTATCACAGGTTTACATTGCAAATTTAGATAACAGAATGAAAACATTTTTATGTTTACAATCAATAAATGCATCTGCAACGGTCACTGCAGTGCAGATTGGACCTCTCTGTTTGTCTGATTCCTGAACTTGACCGTTGATCCTTGTCACTTATCTCTCCCATCATTCATGGGACGTGCCAAGAGCTGATGATTTCTTCAGTCCATGTGCCTTAATTATAATGATGCTAAAATACTAAAATAAAAAATATTCAGAGAGTTGTATCTTCCCACGTATCTTATTAATTAAGAGTGATGAGAAAAAAAGTTAGAATTATCCCTTTTAAGGTGGTCCCATGAATCTGATCAATGTGTATGGTCTTAGCCCTAGAGTGGTTTCTGTATCTGACCAACCCACACTTGGATCCTTTGTAGGCTCCACACTTACACTTTCATTAAAACCTTGCCATGCCTATGAAAACATATTTGAAATTGAAGAGTAGAAAGGAGTGATGTGACGGGGAGGTGACTATGGACGGTGGTGGTGGTGGTGAGGCTGAATCCAAGTTATCTTGTCTGGCATAGAGGGTGATGGTAGTGGTCACCACGCCACCCCCTCTCACATTTCTAGTTTGAACTTTGATCCTTCATTTCCATTCTGTTCATGCAAAGGGAGACAACACTAGGCAGTGTGAAGAATTGAGGGATGGTGACTATACCTTGTTGACATTAAGCCAACCTTGTCGAATCTTCCAACATTGTCCTTTGCTATACGGTTCGTGTTTTTACCATGCCATGTCTAACTTCTTAGACTACTCTTACTGCATTATTAATTGTAGGTCCAGCCCCATGCCTCATTCCTCCTCTCTTTCTTTGCATTTTGGGTCTCTGCTTTGTCAATCTCATCATACTCTCACAACACACAAAACCAATCTCAGACCATTGTTATATCATCAACACTTAAATGTGTACTTTTGATATGTATCCATCGAGGGCCCTATTCAATTCATTACTTTTTCTGCATTACCATAATTATTATTTCAAAAATTTTATTCATTTTTCATTATATATCATTCCAAAAACATTACAAATCATACATTTCTTCACACATAAGTTTGAACTCAAAATATCCCTATGTCAAAAATGAAAGTCGATTTGTTTTGAAAGTTCTGAGCAGTTATGGATTTCTGAACAAGCTGATGAAAGAAAGACTAGAGTGTAAGAATTGATTATAATACTCTTTCTTTTGTCCCCTCAATAAACACCAATATTATTATAACTTTATTTTTTTTTTAAACATTAAAAGAAAAACAATATAAACTATTTTTAATTTCAATTCTAAATTTGATCTTTTCACAGTATGCCAAATGTAGCACATATATTTGAATATGAATGTTTGAAAAGTATGTGTTGCTTGATATAAGGTCTGCCACGGTGACGCTGCAGAGTCAAAATGTGGACCTTGTTTGCCGAAGTCTCATAGAAATAATAACCCTACATGTTCTCAAACTTTGCAGTATAATCCTATTATACGTGTGAATATGAAATGAAACCATTATACAATGACATTCCCTATCCAACAAAGTATCCGAGAAACAGTGACATCTCATTCATGATAAAATGCTAGTGTCTGCCTTTTGTCTGTCAAGTATAGATGTGGGAAATGGGAATCATATATAACGCTTGTTCATGTCAACTAATGCGATGAAAGAGAACGTTATTGCAACAACATACGAGCAGCATTCTGGCTACAATCAACTAACCATATAACATCTGTCATGAATTTGGCTAAGCCGTTCAAGTAAAAAGTGTCGAATCCAAATCAAGGAAAGTTGGTAACAGATTGTCGACATGAAATCAATTTCTATTCACTCACTCCCTTAATCACAATCAAAAGTTTGTATAAAATGTTCAGACCTTAAATGATTGGCATTGTTGTATTATACCCTGCACTAAAAGAATGCAGATGCTGGTCCTACTACTCCGATTTTTGTGCTGTGCAACCTTTCTCTGTAACTTATAAAGACAAATTGTGACTGAACATAACCATAATCACACTTTCTGATAAAGTTTTGGTCCTTTTTTTTCAGACTATCTTGGAGCAGATCTTGTCACCTTAACACGATATGAAGCCTGCAAATACACCATTTGGAACAAATTCCCATATTTTCAAGCAAGGACATTAAAGTAATACAAAAAAGATTTATGTCGGGATGCAAGACCCTGAAAATGTTACTTAACAGACTTTTTTTATAATCATAAAATAGTTTTAGTTAAAATATTTAACTACTGAATTTTGTGTACTAATTAAAAAATCCAATGAAAAGGAGTACTTTTATTCTAAAAATAATGGTGAGTTATCAAAGTTGTGTATGAATAACACTTGTTAAATGATGATGAACCTTGGTAATAGGAAAACAGACAAAATATAAATGAAAGTAAAACATTTCTGTACAAGCTAATATTGCATCAGTAACTTTGTTTTGCTGGTCTTATTGATTCTTTAAGTATGATATTTAGATTAAAGTATGCTTTTGCAGTCACATAAATTAACTCAACTGAATCAGTCAGATTAATAGATAAACAAGATATGTACCGAATTGAAAATCCATCTTCTGGACCCAGATTTGAGTCCAGCCCAGCAGGCCCAAAAACATACGAGCCTGCCCATGTAGGAACCTGACCCAAGACCTAGGTGGCTTCTAGGTCTTGTGATCCTTGACCGTTATGCAGAGGGTCCTGCGACATAAATGTGAGTCACCCATGGTACAACTCTATGCAAGGACAATGACCCTCCTATGTTTAGGTACACACTATTCACTCCAATTACTAACAAGCCTCATACCAGAAACGTAGAATCCTCTTCTAGATTTTTTTCTGAAGGGCAAATACAATCCTTGCTAAGATTCATTCCATATATATAGTAGACAATGTAATAATTGCTTTTTGAAGAAGGAAAAAAGGAAATGAAAACACCACCTCATTTGTCCAAACTAATTTTATGAAAATGGGTTCGGTAGTATTCAATATAGATACTAGAATGGAATACAGTTTTTCCCCCAAAAAAATTAAAGTTATGGATAACTCAATATAATTTTGAAATAATATAAAATAAAATATAAAGTATTTGTATGTATATTGTTGTAAAAACATTTATAAAAGAAATTAGCAAACTTGCATCTCACAGGCAAGGATGCATGATTTTCTGTTAAATGAACAAACATGGGAAAATTAAGAGAAAAGCCAAACAAACCCCAAACGGTACTTTTTGTGGTACCTAAGGCATACCATGCCATGCCATGCCATACCTCAAGTCACACATAGTAATAGTTCATTAGAGACATACTCAAGCCATGTACAATTTCTTTAAAAAGAAAATAATCTTGACCCAAGTGAACCTAACGTGTACTAGTACACAATGTGAGTAGCCTAACTTAATGTTTATAGGTTTCAAAGAAAGTTCAATTATTTTACCATGATTCAGTCAATCGTAGTTATACCCCGAGGCATGCCAAGTGTTTTTGTAAAATAATCTTGGTAAAATACCAAGTGTACCTAACGTGTACCAGTGCTCGATTTGTAGAGGCTTAAAAACGTTCAATTATTTACATGTTTAGCTGTTTTCAGGACAATCGCACCTGAATCAACAGTGATTAAGGCATACCTAGCTATACCCCAAAGCATGCCTAACTTTACCGGTCAAGTCACTTAAGGCATGCCACAAATTTTTTGAAAAAATTGTCTTGATAAGTACCCAAGTCAACGTGTACCAGTACTGGATATGTAGAGCCTAACCTAAATGTTTTGTAGGTTACATGTTATGCTGTTTCCAGACCACTGAACCTGAATTATGTGAAGAAAGAAGTCCCACCTCTTCAATTTGGGGGCTCTCCTCCCTCTTATAAAAGGAGCCCCTCCCTCCTTATTTCAACATCCCAAAATTTCTTTCCTTCTCTAAGTATTAGAAAGTGTTGTCATTCTTAGGACTAGAGAAGGGGTATGTAATTTTTCTTTTTATTATAAAATTTCCACTTTTGTCTATTATTGCTATTCAATTTTTCTCTTCTCTATTTTAGTTGAGTTCTTGTGCAAGTAGTCTGATACCTAACAGTAGTATCAGAGCCACGTTCTTATTCCGTTGCGCTAGTCACTAGAATAGTGTTGGTAAAATTCTGAGTATGCTCTGTGGTTGCGGTTTAATCTGATCTTCCACATCAGAAAAGAGTCGTTACTGGAAAATGTGTAGTAGTGTGAAACTGTTGTCTGGGGAAGTTCTGGCAAGGAAAAATTTGGTACTTAAGTGTGTCCATTAGTGACTCACCTCTCTTTCCTGGGAACTTACCTAGTGTATTGGTTCACGGTCTACTACTATTGTTCCAGTAGATAATACTATTCATAAGTGAGAGTTGCATAAGTGGAAACACAACCATGGTAGCAAAATATGAGATAGAGAAGTTTAACGGGAACAATTTCTCGTTATGGAAATTGAAGATGAAGGAAATTTTGAGAAAGGACAATTGTCTTGATGCAATTGAAGGAAGACCCGCAGAAATGACGGATCAGAAGTGGAAGGAAATTGACAAGCAACGCTATTGCAAATTTACACTTGGCAATGGCAGACTCGGCTCTATCCAAGTGTTGCGGAGAAAGATTCTGCAAAGGAGATTTGGGATGCCCTCATTAAATTATATGAGGTGAAGTCACTTTACACAAGGATATTCCTGAAGAGGAAACTCTATACTCTTCGGATGAGTGAGTCCACATCGGTGACGGACCACATCAACCAACTGAACACCTTGTTTGCCCAATTAGCAGCAGCAAATTTCAACATAATTGAGAATGAGCGTGCAGAGCTTTTACTTCAGAGCTTGCCTGACTCGTATGATCAACTCATCATCAACATTACAAATAATAATATTGAAGGACAACTACACTTTGACGATGTTGCCGGAGCTATTCTAGAAGAAGAATCTAGGCGAATGAATAAGGTAGAAAGTTCTAAACAAGCAGAAGTTTTGACGATGATGAGAGGAAGATCAATGAAACATGGCTCAAGTGGGAGTCAAGATCATGGCAGATCGAGCTCTCGAAACAAGAAGACTTGCAAATTTAAATGCTACTACTGTGGCAAGAAAGGGCACACGAAGAAAGAGTGTTGGAAGAGGAAGAATGAAGAATCAACCTCACAGGGTTGCGTTGCGAGTACTTCAGAGGAAGGAGTAATTCTGGTAGCGAAGCGAAGAATCAGCTCTAATGGCGGAAACGAATTTCATGACAAGTGGATAATGGATTCGGGTGCAACTTGGCACATGACCCCACACCGAGATTGGTTTCAAACCTACGAGCCTATCTCAGGTGGATCCGTGATCATGGGAAATGACCATGCATTAGAGATTGCTGGAGTTGGTACTGTCAAATTAAAAATGTATGACGGTACTATTCGTACAATCCAAGAAGTACGACATGTGAAGGACTTGAAGAAAAATATATTGTCTATAGGGCAATTGGATGACCTCTAGCTGCAAGATCCATGTTGAAGGAGGAATCTTAAAGGCAAGTGAGGGGAAACATAGTTGTCATGAAAGCAGAGAAAATCATGGCAAACTTGTATGTGCTTATGGGAGACACCTTGCAAGAAAATCATGCAACAACCTGCGTCAACAAGCCAAGAAGAAGCGGCGGTAACGTGGCACCGTAGACTTGAACATATGTCGAGCGAGGTCTGCAGATTCTTGCGGAACGTGATCTCATACCCGGGCTCAAGAAGGTCGATTTACCCTTCGTGAGCATTGTGTGACAAGCAAACAACACAGGTTGAAGTTTGCAAGAACCACCACAAGGAGTAAGCAAACTTTGGACTTGATCCATTCCGATGTCCGGGAATCGCCGGAATTATCTCTTGGCGGAGCAAAATATTTTGTGTCGTTCATCGATGACTACTCGAGGAGATTATGGGTATACCCTATCAAGAAGAAGTCTCGAAGTATTTGCGCGGTTCAAAGACTTCAAAGCACAAGTAGAACTTGAGACCGGAAGGAGAATCAAGTGTTTGAGGACAGTACAATGGAGGAGAATATGTAGATGGAGATTTTCTAGCATTCTCGCAAGCAAGAAGGAATTGTGAGACAATTTTCTGTTCCACACACGCCTCAGCAAAATGGTGTAGCAGAGCGGATGAATAGAACTCTTCTAGAGAGAACCAGAGCTATGCTGCAAACTGCAGGCATAACAAAGTCTTTTTGGGCAGAAGCCGTGAATACTGCCTGTTACTTGATAAATCGGTCTCCATCAACAGCAATTGGGTTGAAAACTCCTATGGAAATGTGGAGTGGAAAATCAACCGATTATTCTTCCTTACATGTGTTCGGTTGTCCCGCGTACGTGATGTACAACACCCAAGAAAGGACGAAGTTGGATCCAAAATCCAGGAAATGCATCTTCTTGGGATATGCTGACAATGTGAAGGGGTATCGCTTGTGGGATCCCACTGCCCACAAAGTTATTGTTAGCAGAGATGTCGTCTTTGCAGAAAATGAACTGCAAAGCAAGCAGATAAATGACAGCTCGGAAAAGGACAAGACTATAGTACGAGATAGAGAAGAAGACTTCGAACATTCCTCCGAGTCGAGGAGGAGCATGAAGAACATGAACCAAATGAGGTGGAAGAAGGAGAACTCCGACGATCAACAAGAGAAAGAGTCGGACCATCTTGGCATTCACAATATGTGATGGCAAGTCATGATGCGTATTGTCTCCTAAGTGAAGAAGGAGAACCTTCAACTTTTCAAGAGGCCGTGAGTGGTTCGAAGCTCCTCTATGGATGGTTGCTATGGAAGAAGAAATTGAAGCTCTTTATAAAAACAAGACATGGCATCTTGTGGAACTTCCAAAAGGTCGCAGAGCCATTGGTTGCAAATGGGTCTATAAGATCAAGAGAGATGCCAATGATCAAGTGGAAAGATATCGTGCTAGATCGGTGGTAAAAGGATATGCTCGGAAAGAAGGCATTGATTTCAATGAGATATTCTCACCAGCTTGTTAGATTGACAACAATCGAAATTGTCCTGGCGATGTGTGCCGCATTTGATTTACATCTTGAGCAATTGGATGTAAAACCGCTTTTCTTCATGGAGAACTTGAAGAGGAAATATATATGCTCCAACCGAAGGCTTCAAAGAGCAAGAAAACTTGGTTTGCAGGTTGAACAAATCTCTATACTGGCCTAAAGCAGCGCCAAGGTGTTGGTATAAGAGATTTGATTCCTTCATTATTAGCCTCGGATACTACGTGACTAAGTTCGGACCATTGTACTTACCACAATAGGTTTGAAGAAAATGATTTCATCATATTGTTGTTGTATGTGGATGACATGTTGGTGGTAGGACCTAACAAAGCTCGAATCCAAGAATTGAAGGCACAATTGGCTAGGGAGTTTGAAATGAAGGACTTGGAACCAGCAAACAAGATTTTAGGGATGCAAATTCACCGAGACGTAAAAGATAGGAAGATTTGACTTTCTCAAAAGAATTATTTACTTAAGATCTTGCGGCGCTTCAACATGCAAGATTGCAAGCCAATTTCTACCCCACTTCCCGTCAACCGTAAGTTATCCTCAAGTATGAGTCCTAGCAGTGAAGCGGAGAGGATTGAAATGTCTCGAGTACCGTATGCATCAGCAGTGGGAAGTCTTATGTATGCCATGATTTGTACAAGACCGAACATTGCACAAGCAAGTGGGAGTGGTTAGTAGATTCATGGGGAATCCCGGTGGAGAGCATTGGCAAAATGTGAAGAGGATCCTTAGGTATATAAAAGGAACCTCAAATGTTGCATTATGTTATGGAGGATCGAAGTAGTTGTTAGAGGCTATGTTGATTCGGATTTTGCAGGTGATCTGGATAAAAGGAAGTCTACTACTCGGTTATGTGTTTACCATCAATGGAGGGGCAAGTAAGTTGGTTATCCAAGTTACAAGATGTGGTAGCTCTGTCTACTACGGAAGCCGAATACATGGTCGTCACCCAAGCATGTAAAGAAGTTATCTGGATTAAAAGAATAATGGGGGAACTTGGTCACAAGCAACAACAAATTGTTGTGTACTCGTGATAGTCAAAGTGCCTTACACATTGTAAGGAATCCAGCCTTTCATTCGAGGACAAAACACATAGGAATAAGATATCATTTTGTTCGAGAAGTAGTAGAAGAGGGAAGTGTAGATTTACGTAAGATCCACACCGAGAAGAACCTAGCGAGATGTAATGACAAAGCCTAAGTTAATGCCGACAAGTTTATACTGAGTCGATCCCTCTATGGCCTATCGAAAGCATAAGCAACATGGATGTGAGAGAAGAAGACATAGTGTGAAGATTTGATTAATTTCATCAAAATCTTCAAGTGGGAGATTGTGAAGAAAGAAGTCCCACATCGGTGGGAACTTCAATTGGGGGGCTCTCCTCCCTCTTATAAAAGGAGCCCCTCCCTCCTTATTTCAACATCCCAAAATTTCTTTCCTTCTCTAAGTATTAGAAAGTGTTGTCATTCTTAGGACTAGAGAAGGGGTATGTAATTTTTCTTTCTATTATAAAATTTCCACTTTTGTCTATTATTGCTATTCAATTTTTCTCTTCTCTATTTTAGTTGAGTTCTTGTGCAAGTAGTCTGATACCTAACAAATTAACCATGATTAAGCTTTAGCTAAGTTAAAAACTGGTTGTGTTTAATGCAGTCAATGCCTCAAAGGTTTGGCTACTCTTTTCCTCTTAAGCATGCAGCAAAGTTTTACAAGACACAAATGTGCAATATGTATGTACTGAAAGTACTTTTTCTATAGTGACAGTCTATTACCTTATCGGAACCAAACTCAATCACATCAGATGGACGGACACGAGAAGGATAATTTGGTGGTATCCTGTATCTCCTTCCTTCATTGCTGAAAATATGATGCGAGGGAATTTAAATATACATTTTAAATAACTTAAACTTAGCCTGATATTTGTTTTCCTTACTCAATGATCCAGGTGCCATGCAGACTCCTCAAATCAGTCACGAAGAAGGCGCCATCCTTAAAGTTAATCCTTGCATGCATTGGAGAAACCTTTAAAATAGAAACTTTGTTGCATGACTTTAAGACATTATGTTTCAAACCATGTTCAATTCAGCTTATGATAAATTCCATTACCTTGGGTAAAGGTATTATAATTGAACTGCCCGGATGATCTTTATGCTGTGCTGTCCTGCAATCACAATAACCTGTCAAAGCATGGGTTGATTGAGAGCGAAGGAAAGCTCAGATCAATAAATTAGTCCCTACGATTATGAGTAGTGGTTGGTTAATTTGATATCTGAAATTACAAACATGTTACTTTACTCCCTAAAATTATCAAACATCAACTGTTATTTTTACTTATATTTATGATTTTAAGAACTCAAATGACAGTCTCGGTAATGTTGGGCACCGAAAATGACTACTAGTAATTTTGAGGACTTATTAACGTATTATTCAAAAAGGTTTGGTAATTAACGAAGTGAACACTAACTGGTGATCAAGAAGAACTTTGTTTTGCTTTAATAGAATAAATAAGTACTTCAAAAACTATAGTCAACATCTTATTTCTTTGAAGTTTAAAGCGACATCATATTGGGTTCTTAAAGATTTAGTTTGTGGAAAAATTAATCCTTCCATGATTTAAAGTAAAGGACTAAAGTGGTGAGAGAAAAAAGAAGCAGAGAGACAATGTGATGAAAAATTCAATAATCTATTGACTATGTTGATAACAATTTTGGAAGGACTAAGATGGTAACAAGAGGATTTTTGAAAGACTGATTTGGTGACCAAAGTTTTTGAAGAACTTGGTGGTAACACATACTCTGTTTCATGATAGATGTCATATCAGAATACGTGAATATGTAACTACATTGTAAGCATGAGTAACTGACGGCCTACCCGATTGTGCAAGGTTTCATCTCATCTTGACTTAGAGATATAGGTTTTATAGAACCTGCCTCATCTCCACAAGGTAATAAAATCCACCTATATATCATAGAAGGATGGACACAACAGTTATGTGATTTATAGATACGGAATGCATTATCCTTAGGATAATATTTATTCATATTGGGCCGTAGACATACTCTCCGTTAATGGCACGCTCAAGTGCATCGTTGTCTTCAAACCATGTGTGCAACTGGTCGTTTGCCTTCATAAATATCAAACACAATATCTAGATCAGAAAAAAAAATAAAATCTAACACACCTGATCAATAAAAGACCAGCTATAAATTCTTCATAGTAACAAAGCACAAAGTAACTTTATTTGAGCAACATACTTTGTCCGAGAGCCTGCAACATATTGGTCTACCTTCAAGTTTAGAGCTGCAAAGTAGCACCACTTTTCATGTAAATGATTAAAGTAAAATTACACAATTTTCTAAAGGTTTATTCATGTCAAATGTTTCCAATTCTTGCAGCACCAAGAAAAAGTAGCAAAATAGTTTTGTGGGATTAAAACGTAAGAAACAATGAGTAGAGGAAGATACCATTTTATTAAATAATAATCTGCTTAAATACAAAAATTTATAACAGAAAAGTAACATACTTCCTAAACTTCAGCTACTAATCGGGCACATATTTAGGGATTAAATTAAACATACACTGATGCAAACATTCAACAATTTTTCACAATTGTCAGTTTCTTGAACCTCCCTCCCTTTTCTAGAATAGAAGTAACCCCTTGGCTCAAATTTTTAACATGCATGTTGCATGAGAGGAGTGGAGTAAGAATATCCCCAGAAATAAAAACTTCAGTAATTCATGATGAAAGTTATAAAGCAAAGTAATGTGGGTTTTCGTCATTACCTAATTCCACCTAAGACCCAGTTCAACATCAAAGGCATCATCTTGTGGATAAGAAACCTTCCTCCAACTCTTCCAGGATGTGGTATCCGAAACTTGGTCAAAAACTGCAAATGAAAGCAACCATGAATTTGTGATTAGGATGGCAATTTGATACCTGCACTACACACTTTAGTATCTCACTTTTAAAACTGAATTTCCTACCTCCAATGGCCCAAGACCAACACCAAGATATGCCTTGTAGGTGGAAGCCATCAAAGCTGCCATTCTAGCCATTCCATGAACAATGGCAACTCTTATTCTTCTTTCTCTCTCATAGCTTAAAGCAACAAGGGAATGGGACTAAGAAACATACTGAGTCAGCAAAAAAGATTTATAATCGAATCACCCAATTTGCTAATGATGTAATATTGGCTGAGAGATGCAAGCATTTCTCTGATCATATCAAGTCCAATCAAAGTAAATGAGGTAGCTTTAGATTCAGATTCAGCATTCATTGGTATGTTTGAGAGGATAACATTTGGTACCTTTTCAAGGAAGAATCAATATCAATTGGAGATCCTGATTTGATACTTTGTTCCCATGCATTGTCTAATTCCAATGCAAGTTGATAACTGTCCTGTTATGATAAAAGAAACTAGTTAGAAAGACTTCACCATAGCATTTGAGTGTTCCATCGATAATTCGACTTTGTTGATGTCCATTGCATCAACAAGAAATATTTTCATGTGCTGCGTTTTTATTATTTGGGTTAGTTAGTTATTCATGTCTTTGAGTGGTTAAAAAAGTTGATTAAGCAGTTATAAAGAAAACAAGCATAAAGACAGTCGAGAAAGCTTGGATATCAGTATTACTAAATATGTATGAAACTGCTAGAGTTATGAAGACTACAGGTAAATTCACGTTTCACTGAAGCCCATAATACTTGGGCATGGATATTAATTATGTATGAAATTGCTCAAGTTAACTGAAAAGTAAAGAAAAATCCATACTTCACTGCTCGGTTTAATGGAAATAAGAGGGGAGAGTGAAAATAAAGTTGTTTGGTTGGTTGAGTGAAAATAGTAGAGTAGTGATAGAAAGGATCCCACTATAAGTTTTTCACTCATTTTTTCACCCATTTTCATATTCATCTCTCTATCTCTCTCCTTATTTCTTCTTTATTTCACTTCAATCAAATACTTCTAGTTTTTACTTTATTTTCACTTTTTCTAGTTCCTCGCACTTCATTCCTTTCTCTATAGCAAACAAAGAGGGAAAGAATAAACACAAAAAAAAAGTAAGTGAAAGGAATATATATGACTCAAGAAGTTGTTTGGATAAGTAATAGGGTATGGTACGAGGGTTGTCAAGATTTATTTATTAAGGGGGTGCATTGGATTTTTAAAAGACTATTTTGAAAAATAAAAAATAAAAAATCTTTGAGAATTTTAAAAGACAATGTGAGAATGTTATGATTTATAAGAGTTTTTGGATTTTAATAGATTTATATTGTAAGAAATTAAAGTATTAGAAAGAAATTTTTATAATTCATAAGATTTGTAAGAATTCTACAGATTTAAATAAAAAAAAAACAAAATTACAAGAGTTAATGAAAAAAAAAAAAAAATATATATATATATATATATATATATATATATATATATATATTAGGCATGGATATAAAATAAATAAACTCAATACAGTTTTTTAATATTTAATTTATTCTAACTTCATGACCTTTTGTAGTCCTCTATGCATAGGAACTTCTTCCTGCTCTTGGATTTAAAGAATAGATTCAAAATTGATGGAATAGCAAAAAGAAAATGTTCAATAATTTAAAAAGTCTTACAGTATACTTATGAGCTTTCTTTTTTATCAAAAACAAAATCTTTTAGAATCCTTTCACGTCCTAATTTTATAACTCATTTAAGATATATGAATTATACCTCAATAGCCATGCATCCTCCTTGGCCCATATTTGGCTGCATGGCATGGATAGAATCACCAAGCAATGTGACACGGCCCTTTCCCCATGTAAATGTTGGGGTCCTGTCATATATGTCTCGTCGAAGAATTGCCTCTTCTTCTGTGGCAAGTATCAATTCAATCACGTTATCACACCAACCCTCAAATATCTTAAGCAACCTTTCCTTTTTCCCTGCCAGATAGAATTCAAGAGATATGATAGCTTATAATTTTTGAGCGGCAATCATGAAAACCATAAAGATATGTATCTAATTTCTATATTTCCAGTGCCATAGTCACTGAATTTAATGTATATTTGTATAGTTATTAGAATAGACTTCTCATTGTAGCAATCCAGGAAGAGCATCCAGTGGAATTGAATCATGCTGCACTTGCACTTGCACCTACTAATGACCTCACTCAATCATAATAGACTGAACTACATTGAAGTTGCATGATGTCTTCTCGCCATTGATGTATTGTACGGTCAATTTAGTTGAATTGGTGGTACCACAATAGGTTCAACTTCATTGAATTTGTAGACAATGACTGGGAGAGAATCAACTGATGTATGAGCATCTTTGAATATTAATGTATTTTTGGGTCCAGATGCATTCTCTTGGAATTCAAATATATAGTTGTATACTCCACAGCTAATGCAAAATATAATCAGTGGAAGCTGCTAAATCAAGCACTGTTGAGATGTCCTGCAATGGCTAGAATTATGCATAAAATGCTTCTTATAAGACTTCACACTTTAGAGAACAAGCTTTTGGGAGTGAGTACAACTGATTTGTTCCAAATATGATATTAAAGTCTAACTAGTCTTGATGTTGAACCACTCTCCAATGTTCAATCCTGTAAACAGTTTAATCCTCAACCTACAAACTAACTTTTGAGAATCCCGTCCGTCCCATTTCAAATAATCACTTTGATTGAGAAATTTGCTGAAAGTTTGAGTTTCAATCAAAGGTTGATTTATTTTGACAGGCAACCTGCAATTGCTATACAAAAAATAACACTATTTCATGGAAGAACCAATTATTCTAAGATAAAGTGGTTGCTTTGTCAGGAAGGTACCATGTTCCTCGGTCTGAGTTTGAGGAACTGTTAGAGTAGTTAGGTAAGAGTGTTGGTCTCTGGCCTATTTTGCCGATATTTCATTTGATTTGTCAAATGGGTTTGTTTCTATTGTTTAGGGATTGGAACAGGAATAAATCTCTCATCTAGTACCTATTATTTTCTTCTGTTTCTATTATTTCTCGTTACAAGTACTCAATTAATGAATTAATAAAATGGGCTTTAGTTGTTTTTCTTATTATTAAAATTAAAAGTCAGTATCAGTAATGGAGAAGCCAGGACAAAAATTCAAATAGAGGAGTGCTCTAGCAACATTTTCTAACACACTCTACCATTGATCAAAGTTCATGTGAAACTCGTTAAATGAGAAATAAGACCCACAAATTTTGTGATGTCCAATAAATTTCAGCCAATAAAGAGTGTGTTTAAAAGAATATATTAGAGAGTGTGATGTTAGCTCTGACAGATATCAAATCTCAAACACAATTAGATCACTTACCATTGGGGATATCAGCACCACCAGCAGGTTCTTGGTGAAATGCATACCACTGCATCTTTCCAGCACCGACGTCCGAAGATACAAAGTATTGTTTATGTCCTAAGAATACTCGGTACCTTCCAGCCAGGAAATTCAAGTAAGCTTCTCAACATGATAAAGGTAACACTAACAAAAGAAAGGCCAATAAATATGGATCACAACCAATTTACCCAACAGAGTCAATGTCAGCAGGCACAAAATCTGCAATACCAGTGTAACAAGTATAGCCAGAGTAAGTAGCTTCTGTTCGGCCAAATAACTTATTCCTCACCTATTCACAGAATAATACCTTTTAAGATTATATTAAGGAATAGTGCTTATGAGTAATGACCATAATACTCTAAACAGAACAGAATGAAATAAAAAGTTCAGCACTTCTAGGTTCTAGTTGGAAGAACTAAGCTGAAAAACAGATTCACATCGACACACATCAAACAGGATATGACTAATTTTTTTCTAGAAGGATACTTCTACCACAAGCAACTTTGTAATTTCCACATTCATTTCTTCAAGGGAAAACGAATTTGCCAAACAAAAAAGCTTGTAATCAAAGAGTTTAGTAAGACCTTGGACCATATCCCATCTGCTCCAACCAAGAGATCTCCACCATATTTCTGACCATTCTCCAGCTCCACAGTTACCTGCAATTGACAAATGCGGGATGACACAAATGATAAACCAAAGAGTGTTCAATAACCTTAGTCTGCCATTGCATGTTCTTGAAAGAAAACCTTCAAAAATATCTACCATAGCATATAAGGAGCATCTTCAACTTAAAAGCATTCTTTAATTAATTACCTTGTCTCCATGATCAACAAAATCAATAACATTACTGTCATTCATAATGACATCCTCCCCAACAGCACGAGCAAGGATTTCTTGTAAAGCCATTCGACTAATAACTCTAGTGACTGGAAGCCCACGCTCCGCTGCAGGCGTGAATGTATCAAACTTTATGTACCTAATACCAAACTATATATCAATTCATGGTAGGCGTAGTGCTAAAATTTCATTAAGTAAACCTTAAAAAGTATATTCAAATTATATAAAATACTAAGGAAGCAAGATTCTTATTTTAGAAAGAAATACTGCTTTACACTAAATGAACAACCTTGTGCATATATATTCTTGAACCTGCTTCATCCTATTGTTACATGCAAAATGAATATTACAATTTTACAAAATAAGGAATATACTCATCAGGTGAGGTCCCTGTATCATTTAAAAATTCTTCCAGCAATTACTTAGGCCTTACAAACTGCCCAACACTTCTCATATATTGTCAAAAGTGCATCAAACCCTGAATAATCTCAAACTGCGACGAATTCTTTTATTTGTAGTTTGTGGCAAATGGAACAGACAATACATGTTAACCAGACTCATGTTATGTATTGAAGAGCTAAAGTATCATCATGTATAAAGCTGCAAATATTTTAATCAATCCCACTGGCAAACATGATGTTAGTAAAAGTTTTTTACTGAGAACACTGACATAATTGTCACAATTTGTGCGGCAGTGACACCTCTGAATAAGCCAATCGGTCAACCTTCAGAATTTACATTGTATTAGCATCTCTCATTAGCCAACCATTCATTTGATGCAATTCAATTCAAATTCACTGTTTTACCACAACTTTCGCCCAAACAAGAGGCCACTATCACGCTAGGATGAACACACAACGCAGTAGTAAATTGAAACTAAATAATTTAGGATTCTATAGTCTAATAGTACCCAAATCCGTAAATCATAAACTAAAACCAGTAGGTATCTCATGCCAAAACTTTAAGAGTAAGAAGAAAAGCAAGATACTCAAATCAAGAACAAGTTTCAAATTCAAATTTACCAAGCGCCAGAAACCCCATCCACGAGCCCATTGATCCTATCACCAGTAATACAACCAACTCTCAAAACTTCTTCCGCAGCCTCAATATCTATAGCTTCCAAAGCAGCCAAAGCATTGCTTTGTATCTGAATTGGACCCCTATACTTTCCCTCCCCTCTTATAGCACTCATGTCCTTCTCAAACACCACCACGTCGAACCCTTTTCTCTTGGCAGCCAAAGCAAACACCAACCCACCAATCCCTCCACCAGCCACAAGCACCCTAAGCTTCTTCTTCTGAGGGACACCATCCCCTCCATTTTCAGCCACATTTTTCCAAACATTAGGGGGTGCCTCCGCCACTGTTGCTTTGATCGGCACCAGTCTCTTCCATTGCTTTGCTGCTCTGCTTCCATAACTGGCACAAGGCGAAATATCCAGTGAAAGCTCTTTGCACATAGGAATTGAGAAAAGGGTTCTTGAGAAAACTGGCATTGAGGGATGGAGCGAGTTGCAAGTCAAGGTAAGAGCCATTGTGGATGCCGGTTACTGGGGATGAAAAGCAGCAGAAAGTGAATAAGAGAAGGGCATGCAATGAACAGGAGATTAGATGATGGCCAGAAGCTGAGATAGTGAAGACAAATGCATGTATATAAAAGACGGGAAGTAGGCACTAACTAGGGAAAGGTGGTGGAGTACTTTTTGGTGTGGCAAAAGCTGCTTGCCGCTACACCAAGAGCATAAAATGTTTGACACATGTAGATCCATTAAGGGAGAAGTCAATGCCAGGTGGCACTCTGTGGGTGAAAGAAGAGGGCCTTAGCAGATTCATATGACAGACATTTTAGATTTTGGAACTTGAGTTTGAGTTGTTGTACAGGTGGCTCTATCCTGTAAGGTCACCCACATAACAATGATCTGATGCATCCCAATCCACCGCCAGATTAAAATATTAATAGAGATCTTAAATATAACATTTATTTTCTTTTACGATACATTAGATTAAACATAACAATTTTTTTTAACATGAATAATATGTTCTTCCACCATACTTTTAAACCTCTTGTCATTCAAATATTAAATAAAATTTAAATGAGCTCTTAATTGACATTAAATAGAGTTTAAATAAATATTAAATTATAAGATATTTTGGGACTTATAAAAGGTTATTTAAATTTTTAAAGTTAAATTTATATTTAGAGAAAATTTTGATGATATACTAAGAAATTTTACACTAAAAAATAGTCCCAAATATCATTATAAAATTTTAAACTAAAATCCATAATGGACTCGATTATTTTTCTTTTCTTTCTTGAATGCCTTAATTCGTTCTCAAAATTATATTATTTGAATAATTTGATTAAGAACGCAGAATCATTATCACTTTTGTGGACAGAAGTTACCATTTGTACATTGTAATATACTTTATTTTAAAAAAATTAATTCATTAATTTACTCCAAGAAATAAAATAAATTTAATTGTATATTAAATTAATTTTATATTTATATATTTAAAATTTTAGAATGATTTTAATAGCAACAATAATTAATAACATTTTTAAATATCTCTACTGACTTTAAATTTTTAATTTCATTAATATATTTATTATTTTGATTTTTATTTATAATACAAAAGGAAAAAAAAAGGTTTCAAACAAGGTAAAACTGGACTCTCAAAGAGTTTAAAATATTAAATATTTTACCTATTATCACTGAACTCCGATAAATATTTCATAATAAAAGGACACGTCTTGATTAATGACAATTGTTGTGAAATTAATAAATAATGTTAAGGATTTAATTTGATGCTTGGTAATTTAATGACACGTGCTTTTGAGGAGAGAATAGTTAATAATTTCTTTGGCATTTGTTCTAAGTTTATATTAATATATATATATAACAAACTTATCTATAAAGATTTTTAAAGAAAAAAATATAAAAAGAGAATTAATTTTTTTCTCAGTAATTAAAATTAACTTAAGTATATATTAAAAATAAAAAATTAGATAAAATAGATAACAAGATTTTTATAATTAGCTTATGTAACAGTTAAAAAATATATATTATAAATATATAATTAAAATATGCTAAATAATTTAAAATATAAACTTTTTTAAATAAATATAAATATATATATATATTATTTCAAAAGTGAATAAGACATAAATTTATTTTATTTCTAGATTTGAAATCTATTACCTGTAAATATGTTTACGTGTAAAGTAATCAATAAATATATAAAAGAAACTAGTAATTTGATTTAAATATGAAAAATTTAAATATAAAATAAAATATCATAATTTAATTAATTTTTATATATTATATCATGTATGTTCATACAGGTTTAGACAATTTAAAAAAATAAATATTAAAAATAGACATTAAATATATGTCACGTTATAATACCCAAAATGTATAATATAAGATTAATAAGTTTGGTATATAAATTTACTTATTTTTAAATAATTTATTAAAACAGCTTTTTTCCACATAATAGATTAAGTCATTAAAAGTCATTTTTTTAATGGATTTTTTTAACTAAAAAAAGAAAAATAAATTTAGTAAACTATCTTCTTGTTTATGAATGAATTTCTTACCTCCAATTATTTTTTTTATATAATTCTAATAATCAATAAAATTAAGATATTTTCTCGAATCTCCAATTAATATTTATATATATAAAACTATACACATAAAAATATTATTTAATAATTCTCATATTATAATACAATATTTTTTAAAATACATAATATTATTCAACATATTTTATTTATTTTTATAACATGTAATGTATATCTTAAAATATATAATATCGTTGCCTAAATTATAATAAAATATATTTTTTATTTGATTTTAATCATATTTTTTCTATAATCATCTTTATAAATTCATTCTTAATTTATTAAATTTCTTATTTTTAGTACTTTAGTTTGTATGCATTAAATATTTAACTTAGAATATAAAGTTATTTTTTATGATTTCTTGAAAATAGTTAAGTGGGTTTTAAATATTTTAAGCAAATTTTTTATTCGAAGTGTTGAGTTATTTTGTATGATTTTTAAAAAATAATTAACTGAATTTCAAATTTATTAAGCAGATTATTTATAAAATAAAACCTCTAACTACACGTAAAATCCGTTTCATAAATCTAAAAACGTAAAACATAATTTTAAACACTTTCACCTCTGTCTTAAATTGGTTGAAATTTAGATTTCCTAATCGAATTTATAACTATAACAAATTATATAATCTACTCAATATTTATTTTTAATGGTTTAAATCAAATTAATTCTAAAAAATAAAATCCACAATGTAAATTAATTTGCTAACTTGAAGTCGAGGACCCGCTCCTTGTCCAGCATGAGGGATTTTAGTCCACGCTGTTGTGGTAAGCTAGAAAAGAATAAATTATATTTTAATTTATCCTCCAAAAATGTTATATGATTAAAAAAACATAAAAAATTGAAGACTGTTTATCATGCGTTGTTTGTTAATTGCTTTAAAGCCTGTTTTTATTCATTTCAATTTTGTATTTTTAATTCAATTTAATGTTTTATATATTTCTTAATTAATATAGAATATAAAGAACATTTCCTTTCACTTTATTTTTTTATATTGAGTAAATTAAGTTGACACTGTTTTAAAAATCCAAATTATAATTAGATGTTATTTTTTAACTAATCATTCATTTTTTTTAATTTAAAATTATCACTTATTTTTCATTACATATATAGTTTTATAAGTTGTAAAAATATTATATTTACATCCTAATAAAAGTATTATTATAATAATGAGAAAAAGAAAAAAGTGAATAATGTAAGTATGTTTTGAAAAAAATCTCAATCAAATTGTTATTTAATTTATTTTAATTCTTGAAATCATGTGATCATTTTTATCCTTATTTTCTTCTCAAATTTACTTAAAACTCATCATACACATGAAAAAAAACATAGTTCAGTTGTAATCAATCATATTATATATATATATATATATATATATATATATATATATATATATATATATATATATATATATATATATATTGCAGGGATTCAATTAGTCACATAAAATTTTCAAAAAATCAGTTTTTTTTTTCATGGGAGTGCTTCATTATTTTCACTTTATTCACTCTATTGTGTTTTTTTTTTAAAAGAATGTGAGAATGAAGTGTGGGATCTATATAATCTTTTTCTACACATACTGGTAGAAGTAAATTGATTAAATTATGGAGAATGAACTCCTTCCATCCTCATACAGAGAGTAAAAGTTGGAAACCAACATATTGTAAATGTCAGAATAACCTACAACTTTCTCATTTACCTTATATAGATCATGTAATCAAGTTTGTCGAAGGTACCTGCACAACCATGTCAAAAAGTACTAAATGTTGTTTCACTCATTTTACTTGTAATTACATTTTCTCCCTCTGGTACGTGACAGATAACTTTTGACTTTATATGCAGGTCTGGTGACATTTTTCTTCACTGGATCCGCTCAGAAGGTTAACCTTCTGTAGCAATATGGTCAATTGCACAGTGTGGGAGCCAACTACAAGACAACTTTCATCCATGACCTGTCACAACACCACAAACTGTAACCCTTCTATGACTCACCTCACCTGTTGCTGTTGGTCATGTTTCTTATTGCCACAATTAGTAATCACAATCCTATTTCTTACAAACCGCAATAAAGGAATAAGGGGTTGCCACCACCAACCCAAACTTCGTGATTTGCTTAGTAACATGTTATCCTTCAAGTCTTCGCGGATCACTGTCTTTCCTTTCCGGAACAATTTAACAACCAAATACTACAATCTCGCACAATCAAGGAATGAGTCTCTGCAACTTTTGCACGTGGCGTTTTTCTGCTTATTCCTCACCATAATCTATAAAGCTTTTAATATTCAAACACAAAAGTCAAAACGAAAATCTGATTACACTGTTTGGGAGAAAAGGAGATATTTATGGTAGTTGTAAGATGTAACACCACTTTTCATCTAAAATAACGCATTATACATACAATGGTAGTTATTTCTCTCTTTTTGTTTTAACTTAAAATCGTCATTGTTATTCCTGTGATAATACACTTCCCATGCACAGCTGGTTGGTGCCATAGTGTCCTTGAAAAGTGTGCATATCAATTATCATGAATTAAAAATGCTTTTATTATGTGAGTAATATTTTCTTTTCAGGTACAGTGTTTGTAAAATACTGCAATACTGATTTCTAAATACCACTTAATTCAGTCAGTGTCTTAGTTTCCGGCCCACAGCATGTGTCTGACTCTAAGGAGGTAAACAATTTTAAGGAAACCACGTGACAAATGAAAGGGCGTGTTTTATACAATGTATCCCAAAAATTATCATGATGTGGAATCCTTATATATGGCTATGATCTCCACTGATTTTCATGTGATGTATAATAGATTTTTTTAAGTATAAAAGATTAGCAAAGTTAAATTATGTGCTATGTAAAAATTGATTGAATGATGGTGGATAAATTTGAACCGTGAAACAACTTCTGATGTATCACAGCTCATGTCTTCCTTGTCCTATTATAGTTGGTAAGACCACACCCATCTCACCTCACACTGTTCCACCGCAATACAATGCTTCTTATCTCAAGAGAATGGCTTGTTATTTATTTTTATTGAGCTAGTGCCTTAAGTCTCAACCTACAATTGTCCACACATATTTGTTGTACATATTCTTACAATATCGATAGAAACAGAAAATGTTACTTAAACTAGTCCATCATTGCCACTCGACAAAGATTGATGACAGGATGTAACGCTTAGCAACTAAGTCAGTAATAGACTGATATTAAAGGGTCTAATTTCAACATTTGGTGTCTTAGTTTAATGCTCAACACCACAAAGTTCCCTTTAAGCCCTTGTTGCATTGGTATGTGACCCGGATTGAACCATGCCAAGTGATTGAGCAATGAGTGGTCAAAATCTACTACAAGTTCTTTTTTAGATACTACCAACATAAAGCTTAGTTTCCCATTAGAGACTAGTGTTTTCTATATCTTCTTTGTTTCAGAATCGTCACCACCAATATATTACAACAACTCGAGAGAAATTAGAAACAAGATTTCCATATTTGAAGCGCCAGAGTGCTTCCCTAAGAGGCTTTATTATCAACGGAAAGTAGCTCCAATAGTGATAGATATAGTGTCATGAAGAAGAGTTCTGGTTCCTCTCAGAAACTTGGTTCATTCCTAAGTCCAGGGACACCAAACTATAGAGAAAAAAGTACTGGGAGCCAAAACGGGTGGAGCTCAGAGAGGGTGTTGCAGCCATCAAGCAGCAGCATAAGGCATCAATCTAGTATGGCTAACTTGACGCCCTTCAACAGTGGAAGAACAATCCCCTCAAAATGGGATGATGCAGAGAGGTGGATTTGTAGCCCCGTATCAGGATATTCTAATAACAAAACTAATCCCTATGCACAACTTCAGCGGCGACCCAAATCAAAAAGTGGTCCGATTGTACCTCCAGGAGCAGGCTACTACTCCAATTACTCACCCACAATTCCACTGCGCCAAGGTTTGGGAGTGAAAAACTTCATCATGGGTGGCTCCCCTTTTTCAACGGGAGTGTTGGCACCGGATGCTATTGCTCTTCACCATTATTATGGACATGACGCTGTTTTTGGTCCCCGTTACGACTTTGACAACAGTATGAAATGTTCTAGTCCTCTTCTCAACGATAATAGTGTAGCTCTCCCATCAGTGTCTAATGCACATGTGTGGTCGGAACTGCTGTGTGACCCATCTTCGCCTAATTCTCAAGGTATGAATATTAGAGTTTTTCTTCAAAAGTAGTAGTCTTTCTAAATTTACATTGCTTATTCCATTTAAGATGCTGTATATGTATCAAATGACAAACGTTAGTGGAAACTGATATATCGATTACATGATATAGTTCATAGCCCAGTGTATGTATGTGACTGACTAGTTTCAGGTAAAAATTAACTCAAAGTGTACTGAAGTCATGTTGAAAATGATAAAGTTGAACAAGACCATGATGTCGAAGATTTTTTTGGTATAGTTGATATTATATTGTCTTGTATACATGTGTCCCATTCGAGAGAATGTAACGGTATTAACCCCCGAAAATACCAAACAATTCATAACACCGAGTCACACATTCATAGTTCAAGTTGGTAGTGTGACTAATGTGTATTGACATACGAGAATTCACATATTTAAAACGTTTCAGTTATTTTCATTTACAGATGAGAAACGAAATGAAACTAAGAATGAGGACGCATTGACATCTCCTCTCTCAAGACGTGATAAAGGAACTCAAATGAGCCCTCCTGAAACTGAGAATGATGCACCAAAATCCTCACCCACTTCGACCATGAATGAAGAAAATAGCCATGCTGCGAAGTTGGAGGTCAGAGATGTGGAGGTAGACAGTGAGGCTACTATTATTAGGTGGTCCAAGAGCCATGTACCCAGGTTGAGCTTACTACCCGGTAAACATTCCAGGAAAAGTAGTAGGACGGAAGTCCAACAACCTTCAGGTTTGGATATTGCAGAGTCAACGTTGGATTCTTCCAAGTATGTTGTTTAGATACTCAGCTGATTTTAGTGCTCCTCTATTTCAGTTCTTGGGTTAGGAGTTGTCTCCCGGATATAAAATAAATTTGGAAGGTCCAACTAAGCGAATGAATGAATCTTAAATTCTACTGCCATGCAGGCCTCTCATTACCCAATATCAATATTATCAAGATATTTGAATATCTCCATTGTGATCAAAAGAGATTTAATGTCATTGTTTTGTTTTTGGCGCAGGTTTCAGAGAGAGGAAGCCAAAATCATTGCATGGGAGAGTTTGCAGAAAGCCAAGGCTGAAGCTGCAATACGAAAACTAGAGGTTTCTTATTTCTCACAACTTACATATATGTTGAACTTTCTCATATGATGTGTGTCCCTTTTCCAACTCAAATTGGTAAGCAAGATATATTACATTCTCCAGCGGTGGCTCCATCCGCAATCAGTAAAATTGTTGTCGTGTCATGCTGCATGATAAAACTCAAAACATTATACACATAGTGTATACAATAACTGCATCAGGGACACTTCAACTTTTTCTTTTCACTAACGATGGAAGTGTTTGACACAGATGAAATTGGAAAAGAAGAAATCGTCGTCCATGGAAAAGATTCTAAACAAGCTGAGAAGGGCGCAGATGAAGGCTGAAAAGATGAGAAACCAAATAACTGTAGAACAGGATCAGCAGCAGGTTTTCAATACCCGGAGAGTATTTTCGTTCCAAAAACATGCCCATATATGGTCTCCAAGGAACTGCTTCGGCACTCACGCTCCATGATTAATATTTAATTCAAACATACAAGCTCTCAAATCACTATGGCTCTGTCCCAATAAATACAGAATAGTCATATTCAAGTCATAGGCCATTTTTGTTTGCCTTTTGTACTTCCCAACGATGTTAATAGTGGAATCACTAGAGCATTATCTTAGTGCCATTTGAAATTTTCATCATCATGTACCACAGACATAATCAGGATGATTTCTAGATGCGATCCTTTATTTGTCTTGTATTTACTATTTCCCACTATGTATTGTTGGAGGCGCACAGGTAGCACCACTACCATTAATGCATGCAACCAGTGATTCGATATTAAACAAGTCTAATCGGGGGTGGCTTATAATATGGGGCGTTTCCCGTGACAACCATCAGCAAGTTTGCATTGTAAATAATGTTCAAAATATTAATCTCTCTCAAAAAAAAGACATGCACGTCTCTTACAACTTGATTTTACATCATAGAGACATGCGTTTTCCATGTGTAATAAAATAGAATGAGATGGAATAACCATGTGACATCTTTTCAACGTCGGTTTATTTATATTTTCACATCAAAACGGATGAAAAGCGCAAAAGCTCGTATTATTTGTAGCTTCTAGCTTGATGCGGCGATACAAATGCTGGTAACAGAAGATTTAGTCTGAAGTTTTTTACGCTACGTAGATATAACAGCCTTGACCAAAAAAGATGACTGTAATGCGTAGCCAGGTTGGTTGGCAAATATAATATGTTTAAGCCATTACTGAATAATTTATTATGGACCATACATCAGCATCCACTCCGACAATACACAAGGAATAATACATAGCATAAATGTAGCATTGATCTATAATATATCATATTTCCATCATCTGCGCTAGTACAAATGGATACAAGATATTATGTTCTAACAAAAAAGTATTTTCTGGTTGAAGATAGATAAAGAAAAATCCAATCCATGGTTCTTACAACTTTATAGATCATGATTAAATAACAGCACCACAGTTCGCTGGCGCACCAATAAGCTGTGTCCCTACTAGTATGGTCTATACCTCCAATCTGCTCTTGATGGTCTCCCAATACCATAACCCCACTGCATGCGAAAGAAAATTTACAATCAACAGCTAGATTAATACTTCAATGTTTCTAAAAATATTGTCCAAATTTTCATTTCCCTTATATATGGGTTATAAAATCATTTAGTTGTAAATACTCACATCGTCAAAGTCCAAGCTACCATACATCCTCCCATAAGATCGCACAGGACCGCCGTATCCCCCAAAAGATTCCATACTATTCATCATGAAATTCCCACTGGGCCCTGCATCATCAACAGGTGTAGCCGAATCTATTGCTACCTAGAGGTGCAAACCAGTAGTTAGTGAAATTAAGTTTAAACCCAAAAATATACAAAACAAACCAAAAAATATAATCAAATTATCTTGACAGTCAGCATGATGACATGCCATAAGGAATTCACACTTCACATTAATTATATTTGTCTACTGTGCAGATAGTTAGTGTAATGCAATTACTGTAGACAGTCATGTTATATCACTGATATCTCGTTAAAAAATAACAGAACCACAAATCCACACTACTAATTACATGTTCTCTCCTGATTTGAATGAACAAACTAGTTACGCTGCTAAAATTTAGTGAGGTTATGAATGGCCATTCTAAAGAATGGAGGCTTAATCTCCACCCGTACCTAAACAGAATCCCTTACACCACATCCACACATCTAAATTTCAATCACGGAAAAATGGACAAACAGAAACTTATAGCAGATGAAAGTTGGGTATAAATGCAACCTGCAGCAAAATTTAATTGAAGTACCTGATGTCCACAAATTTCATGAGACCTTCGAGAGACACGATCTGCTACACCATCTTCAGCAAAAGTAACAAATCCAAAACCTCTATGACCTGTTCTCTTAGGATCCTACCCAAAAAAGACAGTCAAGTAAGCCAGCTTTCTCAAAATCGTATATATGCTTCTTTTTTATACTTACCCTAGGAACGTAAACATCTAATATACGGCCAAATCGTCCAAAATATTGACGAAGATCCTCAGAAGTTGCTTCTGGGGGAAGACGGCCAACAAAAATTTTTTTACTAGTTCTCCGAGCAGGCTCTCCCCCTATTTAACAAAATATGGTAATCACTAGTTAGTGTTAAGCAACTTAAGTTATTTTAATTAACCACTGGTGCTTCCGTGCTTACGTCCATAAATTGGGCCAGGATGGTCATACAAAGTAGGAGTACCAAGTGCTGCATATCTAGTGGCTGCAGAAATGTAAGCATTGTATGCACCATATCCTCCTTGTGGCGGCATTCTGCTGCCAGTTGGCTTAAAGTCTTCATCCTGAAAGAAGAAATAATACAATCTTATTTAACTAAAAGTATAAGGAAAAATTAAATTTTAAATATTCTTTAATCATTAAACAATGCAGTTGAGTAGGGAACAGATATCCTCTAGTAATATTTAATTAACTTGAATGAAAGAAATTGTTGGACTCTGCAATTTCCAGAAACTATTCTACAGTAAAATGACAAGCTATAAAATCACTTGCCTTTGGAGTAGCTCGATCAACCACCACCGCAGAACCTCCTAATTCATGGGTTTCTGACATCAAATTTTCCACAGAATCTGCAATACAACATGTTTGTTACAGTGATTGAGACATCCTATCCACAATGTTTCAGAAGTTCAAAAACAAAATTAGTATATCAAAATAATACAAGTATGTACAAATTTCAATTGATACCCAAGATCCCAAACGACTAAAGTAAATATATTTAAGGAAAATTAACATATAAATCCAATACACTATAAAATATTTAGAAACTTAAGATTAGAGCAAACAAGCTAATATCTATGGCCAACCTGCACTTGCAAAAGTGATGAAACCAATTCCACGATGTGTTTTGGAGCCTTGATCCTGTAGGAAAAAAAAAATGGTAAATTATCCATCATTAAGAAAAGTAAATAACATGCAAAACTCTGCAATTTATATGTACAGACATAAATGTGAATTCAAGAGCGTGCATGCAGATAAAAAGAATCAATATATACAAACTCCATTTAAATTCTGCATGGTAACAATCAATAGGAGGAAAGTACCTTTGGCATGTACAGATCTGTTATATCTCCATATGTCTCAAAATGACTGAAAGAAAAAGAAAAGAATTATAAGAAAGGTCCTGAGACTATTATATAAACTTATCTTATATATTCAATTCAATACAAGAATATATTACTAAAGAAAAATAAAATGTCCTCGGTGTGGATTATTATAATGAAGATTTTACATATTCATATACCTTCGGAAAGTAGCTTCTGTTACTGATTGTGGGATCCTGGCTACAAATATTCTAGTAACTTTTTTTACCGGTGCCCTCATTTCCTCCTTTAATGTGAAAGCATAACAATAATAAGTAGTAAAATCATGGTATATGGTTATTATATTTTGTATAAAATGTAAACCAGCCATAAAGAAGACTAGATTTCATGTTTCAAATGAACTTTTGTTATAACCTTCGGTGTGGCTACTTTGACTTCCAGCGTCCTATTACCAAGAATATGTTCACTTGATAATACTTCCTGTAGCCAGAAAATAATCAAAATCACGACATAGTATGTAAATATTGCATATGGTACGGGTGTATAACATGAGAGCTAGAGCGATAAGAGGAGCTAATTATGACCATACAACTCTCTCTCTCTGTGAAAAGAGATTACCTTAGCATCATCCACTGAAGCAAATGTAACATATCCAAAACCTCGAGACCTTCCAGTTGACCGCTCCTAAAAAAGATAAGGTGGATTAAAATGTGCATCCAGAAAACTTAATAGTATAGGGCCAATCTAACCTAACCCTGTACAAGACAATTATGCATCACATCACCAGAAATTATAAAGCATAACCAGCTTGAAATTTCTTCTGTTATTTTCTCCGTACATGTGGCACCAAAACTAAGTATGTTAACTTTTTCTCTACCACAACCTTTTGACATCAAATTTTGGTCAATGAAAGACCATTTTGATGTATTTACTCTGATAGTATCGGGAACCTGAACTAATTCTATTTTTTGAAAGACCAAAGTGGATGTTTACTCTAAATGGATTGATATAACTGAAGCTTTGAGCTTCAGTACATGGTAGTTGGATGAAAAAAACATCTTCAAAAGCATAATAAAGAATTCAGCCACTGTTCCTTATTAATTTATCTTCTTGAAAAGCAAGAATGAGTTTTAATTAAATTCAATGCAAATAGGGGTACACATGGGATGAAATAAAATTACGGCTGATAATTGAAACACACACATATATGAATAATAAATAAATAATGTATTGCATTTAATATCGACATAATTAAAAGTTGTGAATAATGGTCCCCGTAATGCACATCACTCATAAGAAACCAATACATCATTTTGCTTCAATAGCAAAAAAACTCAATAAACTTGAAGCTTCAAGAGATTCAAACATTTTAAAATAATAATTATGAAAAACGATTTCTTATACAAAAAACCCACAATGTCACATAAACTTATTTCACTGGTGAATTAATGATTTCTTAAGTATAAGAAGTAGGGAAGCAATTATCATGGGAGATGCTGTGAAAAGAACATGAAATGACAACATAACAGAAAAATGGAAAGCAAAGGCTAACCTTCATGACAATGCAATCTTCTAGCTCCCCAAATTTGCTCATATATTCCCTTAATCCTTCGGTATCGACATCCCACGGAATCCCCAAAACCTAATACGCAATTTTTAAGGACAAAAATTAAGAAAAAAAAAAAATCAATCGATACCATCCTTCATTATAATGAACATCTAAGGTCCAAATAGAGGAATAAATATTAACAAATTGAATGAGTATGACTAACCACAAGCTTTCGCTGCTCCATCAAGGACTTCAACAAATCACAATGAAAGAGAACGGGATGCTGCAGAGGGGAAAATCCCTATCCACCACTCTGAGAAAAAACAAAAAAAAACAAAAGGGGGGAAATAATCTATCCACCTCCTCCTCTTGGGGTAATGGAATCTCTCAGCAGAGCACTCACCGTTCTCACCCCTCTCTCTCTCAAAATCTCACACTCGCCGCCTGCACATAACAAGCACACTTCTTTCTCACACACAAATATCGTCATCATCATCATCATCATATGCTACCAAATGAAAATCAGCTTTTGGGGGTTGGTGTTCTACTGTAACAGAAAACAAAGATTAATTGAAAAAAATTCGGTGAATTAGGCGCTCACTGACCTTGG